CTTCAACTTAGTCATACTTGCATACATTTATGTATGATCTTGTTTTGTTATGTGCATTTGCAAATCTTGTCTTGTTTTGCTTGAGTGTTGCTTGCATGCTTTGTTCTTGCCTGGTGGGTTGCCGAGGTCATCTTAAGCCTAGACACCTTGGAACCTTTCCACACTTAGAACTATCTTGGAACCACTTCGGTTGACCTCCATCTTCACCCTGGCATATTGGCCGAGATGTCATCATCTAGGCCAAGGTGTGCGTCACCTAGGTCGAGATGTGCATCATCTAAGCCGAGATGTTATTATCTAAGCGTTCTAGATCCTTGATCCTTGCACTTAGTGATTTTGTTCCTAGAATGGTATGACCTAGACCGAGGTGTGGCACATCTAGGCCAAGGTGTGGCACAGCTTAGTCAAGTGTTGTCCTTCCAAGCCGATGTCGTTGCCACCTTACTTGCCGAAGCTTTGCCCTTAGCCGAGATCATCACTTGCCGGAGTGCTCTTTCCGTCTAGCTTGTTGAACACACTTTGTCATGGTCTTGTCTTGTCAGTCAGTCACCTTTTTTAGTAGAGCCAATCAGCCGATGCCACGTGTCCCAGCAGAGGGTTAAGTAAGTGACTGTCGAGAAAACATATCATTTTTGTATCAAATCTTGTCTTCTAGAGAGGGAGAGACTCTAGGAAGAAGAAGGAGAAGCTTTATAGTGAGAGAGTGGACCTCCAAGCTTGACCGTGGGAGTTTGAACCGTTAGATTCAAGTTTTGAGGTTAGAATCTTAATCTACTCTTGTTGTTCTTATTGATCGTCCAGCTGCATTCCATGATCAAACCTGTTCTGCATGCTTTGCATTGATTTAAAGTCGGTTTTAGTAAGAGAAAATAGTGTTCTGATGTTCTTGAAGAAAAGTCTTGTTTTGATCCGAAAGTTTGCATCAAGAACCATGTTTTTGTGTTTGTTCTCACAAGATCCTTGAATATTGGTACCTAGGTCCATGTTTTCGAACTTATAGCATAAAATCTCAGACTTTGTAATAACAAGTTATGATTTTAGCATGCATGTTCTTCATCTTCTCCATCTTCATGTTCCTCAAAGGGGAACCCAGATTTTCCCGACTTCGCTTTTGAATGTGGTCGTCGGAACCATACCTCGGCGAGAAGGTGTGGGACCTCAGCCAAGACCTGGTTGATGCCCAGCATATTTTTTCCCGAGATGAAAAGCAGTGTTTTGTTTTGATTTAACTTAGTTTTTGATGAGATCATCAGTTTGCATGAGAATCTTGTTTGAAAGTACGTTCAATAGACTTTGCCATGTGTTTGTAGGACTCGAACTTTTGCCTTGACCTCGACGTTTGAAGAACTAAGTGAGTGGTATTTTTAATAAAGCTATGTTATCAATGTTTGATAAGCTTTCCTTTGCTTTGTTTTGAAAAGTATTTGTTAAGCATGAATGATTGTCCCTATTTTGTATGTTAAGTATTATCTTGTTTTAATGACATTCTCGGAAAGTCCTTAGTTCCAGGGGACTATAATGCAACTACACATCTTGTTTTGAAAGTCCTTAGTGCCAGGGGACTATAATGCAACTGCACCATTGTTTGAGATATCTCCCTTGCTTTGTCTTGTTTTGCCACTGACGGTTTACCGCGTGGGTTTGTTTGTCAGGAATGTCATCATTTGTAATATGTTGATGCTAGTAAGCACCCCTTGAAGCTTTGAAGATTTGCTAGATGGACGAGGTCCATCCTTTGTTATATAAAGTTTTGATATGTATCATTTTGAAAAGACTTCAGCTATTATTCATGCAAACCCCTTTATTATTTATATCATTCACTGAGTATCCAAACTCACCCTCTTTATATATATGTAGGTGATGAGCAAGAAGGCGGTGGCGCCTAGATGTGATTCGCGAGCTTGTTTTGGATTTTTGTTATGTCGGCTTGACTTGTATTCATGTCGGCAGTCTTGAAAATTATGTTTCTCGACTTGTAATACTTGTATTTTGCATATGTCGGCTTGAGAAGCCTTTTGATCAAGATGTAATTTGTACTTTACTTCATTTGTAACTAAGTTGTAACCCATGTGAAGATGTATGCCACTTCATTTGACTTACGCACAGCTCTTATGGACTAATTAGATTTGTATGTATTGCTTCCGTACTCGTAAGCCCCGTATATTTATACTCTGTTTGTATGAATTTTGACAGTTGGCCTTCGGTAATCTCGGATTACTGGCCATCACGGCACCATCCTAGTAGGGGTGGTTTGGGGTCGTGACAATGTAGTCCTTGGATGTCAATTTTTGTTAAAATATGGACGATAGTTAGTAGTTGGATAAAATTAAGAAAAATAAATAAATAAAATAGTTAAGATAGTAAATTGGATAAAAAGTGAGAGATTTACTTATAAATCCCATTTAGAGGATTTACAACACAATAAGTTCATAAAATTTTCTCAGGTTCCATCTAATTCCATATATTTAGACTTGCATTTTAGGAGGTCTTTTTTTCGTGTAGCTCTAAATACATTGGGCACCCATTACATGGAACACCCAAATTCAAAATTTAAATATTTATTTATTTATTTGGACACCCCAAATAGTACTTATTATAACCAGAAAAATAACCCTAAAAATTATACTTTCTGCATCCCAAGTCTAATAGCTTTTTCATCTGGACACTCTGTGTCGAACAAATTATATTTCCAGAAACTCAATTGCGAACATATGAAGTTTCTTTAGATACTCAGTGCTAAATAAATATGTTTGGATACTCAATTCTGAATAATAAAAATTGGTTACAACATTTTCATCTGGATACTCAGTGCTGAACAAATTACATATGTCTAGATACTTAATTTCAAACTTATGAAATTTCTTCGGATACTCAGTTCCGAACAATCAAAAATTTGTTGCAACGTTTTTATCTAGATACTCAGTGCCAAGTTTCCGAATAAATGTAATTTGTTCGGTACTAAATTTCTGAATCAATTCCATAAACCAAACAACAAAAAACCATAAATATCACATGAAAACTTACTTTATTTATAGAAAATTGCTTGGAAACATATATTTTTTTTATCTATTGTTGATTTCAAAATGAAAAATAATGCAAAAATGATGGATTCAAACAAATAGGGTTAGATATGATGATGCAAAGTGAAGAGAATAAGAAGAGAAGAGAAAGAAAAGAAATATTGGGGTTGATGAGCCACCCAAATTCTATTTGCACATCAAACTAACTTTCAGTACAAACCACAAATGTGTTTGGATATAAATTTTTGAACAATTCTCAAATGTTCAGATTTAAAGTTATGAACAAAAAATAAATTGTTCAAACATATAATCCGTTCAATTATTTTTATATGAACAACTGCTTTATGTTCATAAATCTAAATCCGAACATTTGATATTTGTTCATAAATTTATATCCAAATACATTTTTTCGTGTGTACTGAGAACTTGTATGATGTGCAAATAGAATTAGCCTCCCCCCCCCCAAAAAAAAAAAAAAAAAAAAAAAAAAAAAAAAAAAAAAAAACAACATAACTAGAAAATGGGCCAATGAGATGAGATGAGATACCACTATTGACTTCTTTTTATGATTTCAAAGTAGATTAGTGGGACTCTGCTTCATACACTTCTTTCATCACTTTCTCTTTTGTTTTTTGTCGCAACTTACAATCTTTAACTATTACTTATTTGCAGAGCTTCTTCAAACTATTTGTTTTCCATCTCCGTATTGCTTGATTCTAGCTCAATTTCTAACTTTTCACATCATCTAAAGTTGTTTGAAGTTTGTAGTTGTTCTTCAATAACCCTAATGATCAATAGGCCTCTCTATTTATACAGATAGGACACAACTAAATAATACCCAAGGGGCAAGAATTCTCTAAAATAAAAGGTTTGGATAGAATTATTCTCAACTTTTTTGACTCATCTTGCAGACCTATTTTGACCTAGTAAATGTCAGAATTGGAGAATTCCTATTTACCACACAATTTCAGTCCTTTAAGTTAGCTTTCCATTGCTTTTTTATCCACCTTAATCTGATATCAAATGAGAGAGATATGCCCAAAGTACCGAATGCTGTGCAGAGTTACTCTTCTAGAAGGATTGCATCAAATCTAACTTTTATTTATTCAAATTTCTTGGGTTGGGCTACTCTTGCTTGATTAAATTATTTAGATTCTTCTAGGCCTTTAGAATTGAGTTGGAGCTTGGTCTCGGGTTTCAAATATGAAATTGTCTAATTTCTACTCATAGCTTGAATGACCTGCACATACACAAACATATTAAAATCATCAAGTAACAATGATTGAAAGACCTAAGGGAATCTCCAACGGTGCATCCTTTTTTTCATCAATTTGAGTAAAAGCTCCCTTTGATATCAAGTGCTCTAACAGAGGGTTTTAAGGCTTCATCAAACCATCGGTCGACCTAGCGGACGACCGGCCGGTCAACCAGCCAGTGTAATTTTTTCACAAATTTTTGCCTTGAGGTGGTCATTTGGGGGGACATCTGGTGGTGAAAATCCAATGGCAATGAACAGTGATTTGATGAAAGGCACATTCGTCCTCAATTTGATGAAGGATTTGAGAAATTCTAGATTTGATGAACCATTAGAGGAGCAAAAAGTAAGTTTTTTCATCAAATTTAAATTTGATGATGGATTTGATGAACCATTGGAGATGGTCTAACAAGTTTTAAGGGGTCCAAATGTGTACATTTCAGCAACTATCAACAAGCAAATCAAGAAATGGCTAGAAGAGGTTCACATTTTGGCTTATGATGCATATGACATATTAGACGAGTTTGCCACTGAAGCTCTCGAAAGAAAGCTAATGGTGGAGGAAATGACGATGGAAAGAAGACCACCTAAGTTTCTACGCCTCTCTGCTATTGTTTCATTCAATTTAAAAATGGGTCAAAGCTAAATGAGATCACTAGTCAATTACAAGAAGTTGCTGCAAAAGGAAAACAGCTTGGTTTACATAAAAAAAACTTGCTAGGAAGATGTCTACAAACGTATGTCCAAGATCACGAAGTACATGTTTGAAGGAACTTCACATTCATGGCAAAGATGAAGGCATCAAGAAAATTATCGAATTGCTACTTGAGGATGCACCTACTACAAAAAAGTTTGATGTAATTCCTATTGTAGGCATGGATGTGATTGGCAAGACTACACTAGCTCATCACATTTATAATTACGACCAAGTGGAAAAGAATTTCAATCTAAAAGCATGGGTTTGTGTTTCTAATGACTTTGACGTTCTAAGAATAACAAAGTTAATTCTCAAGTCATTCACTCATTGTTCTTGTAATTCGGGCAACTTAAATGATGTTCAAGTTCAACTTAAATACACACTGCAAGGGAAAAAAAAAAAGTTTTTGCTTGTCCTAGATGATATGTGGGATTATGGATATGATGGATGGAATTTGCTACAACCGCCATTGGAGCTAGAGCACCTGGAAGTAAAATTATTGTCACAACATGAAACGCAAATGTTGCATTACAAACTTTAATTGAATATTATAATTTGTAGATATTATCAGATAATAGTTGTTGGTTAATCTTTTACCAACATGCATTTGACAATAGAGATATCATGGAATACCCAGAATTGAAATCAATTGGTAAGAAAATTGTTGTGAATACGTGCGGAGGCTTGCCATTGGCAACCAAGGCCCTTGGCAACTTACTATGTCGTAAACAGGAAGAACATGAATGGAAAGAGACACTAAACAACAATATATGGAATGAGGAAAGTGACATTCTCCCAGCATTGAAATTGGGTTACCTTCATCTCCCTTCTCATTTAAAGCGTTGCTTTTGCTATTGTGCAATTATCCCAAAGGACTACAAATTCAAGGAGGAGGAATTAGTGTTGCCATCGATGGCTGAAGGTTTAATTGAGTAACCAAATGGTTGAGATCAAATGGAGGACTTAGGTTGCAAGTATTTTCAAGAATTGGTATCAAGGTCATTTTTTCAATCCTTAAGTGATTACGATTTCCTATTCATTATGCATAGCCTCATCAATGATTTAGCTCAAGATGTTGCAGGGGACAAATATTTTAGGATGGAGAATAATTTAGAGGGTGGCAGACAGAACAAGATTTTAGAAAAAAACTTGACATTCATCTTATGTTGCTAGCGAATATGATAGAATCAAAAATTTTAAAGCTTTTGATAATGCCAAATGCTTACGAACTTTCTTAGAGTTTTTGCCAAAAAGTTCCAACTACATAATGAGGTACTTGTTTCATGATTTATTGCCAAAGTTAAAATGCTTACGTGAGTTGCATTTGTGTAGTTCTGGATAGATGAACTACTAGATTCCATTAGAGATATAAAGCATCTGCGCTACCTTGATGTATCCAAATCTGGGATTAGAAAATTACCTAACTCGGTAATGACTCTCTACAAGTTACAAGTCTTGTTTTTTAAATCTTGTCATCAACTTGAGAAGTTGGCTCCAAACATGGAAAATCTGGTGAACCTACACCATTTTGATATGAGTGGTGTGAATATTCCATCACAGAAGAGATGCATAGGTAAATTAATTATCTAGTCTCTCTTTTAGAAGGATAGTTCCATTGCTCAAGCAATCTGATAGAAATTGTAATACGTTGGTGTAAAAAACTGGAATTCCGGCAGCCTCTTAGTGTCGGTGCACACAACGAGAACAACAGCATCAACCAATTCAGTTCTCTTAAATGGCTGAAATTACATAATTGCCCTACATGAATGGTTTCCTACTTTCTCAAGGAAGGGAGTTCCCCACCAACATCAATTCACTTTACATCGGGAACATCAGAGTGGACGTCTGTCAACTTCTTCCACCTCTATCTCCATTAGAGTCGGATTTGCACAAACTCTTTTCTCTTACAACACTCGTATTTGGAGGCCTAACTTCACCATGGAAAGATACAGTCTCCTTTCTAGAGGAAGGGATGTTACTGCCCACCTCTCTGATCTACTTGACCATCATTAACTTTTCAAATCTAGAAAGACTCTCTTACGAGGAGTTTCAAAAACTCGGCTCTTTCGATACATTTCATATCATACTTTGTCCTAGGTTTACATCATTTCCAAAGGAAGGTTGCCTCCCTCACTTTTGCATCTGAAAATCTGGGACTGCGCTGAGCTTGCGTCATTTCTAGAACAAGGCTTCCTTCCCTCGCTTTTGTCATTGAAGATCTTGAGATGTCATCCACTACTGAAACAACAATGTAAAAAGGAGAAAGGCCAATATTAAAATAATGAAAAGAATTATTTGGCTTATCAATCAATGAGGTAGAGGCCATGTAAATAATATATTCATGATACAATTTAGGAAACAATATACACAAGGCAAAATTCCTACAATCAAAATAGTTCCTGTTCTAATTCCTATTCTAATTTCAATACTCAAACATAATATTTTGATTCCTATATTCAA